TTCTAAAAATGTCAACAATTTTTTCGAAGAACTTCAGCATTTAAAATAATTCATTCAGATAATTTCACAGACAGACCTTGCGTTTAGCAGTGTTATCCTGACGAGCGCATACACCTACGCCTGCACAAAGTATAAAACCAAGTGCACATCAGAATATGCATACGTGTACGTCAATATAATCGTTCCTAAAATTCCCTTTAAAATGTGTACATCTAATGTCAGGCATTTTAAAAAATCTTTAGGAATGCTAAGAATAAAGTCAACAAAAATATGCTTAAAAATTATACACTGTCACCATCTGGTGACATAACGCCTCTATACATCACTCGTGTAACAGTGTATTATCTCACACTTGTATTAATCTGTTTTACATTAAAACATTAAGTTGATCTCTTTTTATCTGGTAGATATCAAATTCCTCAGTTGATCAGCACTGAGTGTCATTATTCTATCAGGTAAACGAATTTTCGCTCCTTTGTAAGGATTCAATATTGACGTCAAACGGAAACTCGCATTCTCTCTTGAAAGTAAATATGCATACAATGAAATGTACCATCTCACCTACTGGTTCGAAGAGGCACGTTGCAGAGAAGTCTCTTACACTTTGTTTGGAAGCTTTAATGCTGGATTTAATCAGGGAGTTATATCGCAGACGATGTAATTCCCTGATTTAATGCACATGTATTATTTCCTAGACGACAAGGAAATAGTAGTCTTACATGACGTTCATTCAAATTTTAGCCCTTTCCTGAAATCGATATAAGTGGTGGAGCTGTTTTGTCCCATTTGTTAATCCTATTTTTCATATAAGAATTATACTTAACAGTATGTATGTCCTGTTCAGGGATTGCAAAACTGTGTTATTTCAAGCAAAACTTCTTCCGGATATTAAAACATAACCCTCCATGGCAACTCATTTATATCGGATATCTCTAATAAATCCGAAAATGGATCTATTTTTGATGTTATAGGACAGAGAGGGTGCCGGACGTAAATCCGATTTTTCACGTATCTCGGTATGCTCGAAGGTTTTAAAGTGGCAACATTTTGAGACAACGGCACCAGAAATCCATTAAAATAGTGTAGGCAATACACGTTCAAGTCAAACATTAGTTGTAGGCCTATCTCTCTCTCTCCGTCTAAAGCAGGCACAATGTTTTATGAAGTGGAATATTTCCGATTAATCTCGAGTCAAAGTATACTAAAATTTTGGCTAAAAATGTTAAAGGAACTTTCGGTCTGTTGTTCTCTTATGAAGCGGAGCCAAGTGATAGACCGAGTAGCCGCCTTGGCAGTGTAAAAGAAAGATATTAAAGAGATTTTAATTCAAGAAATAAATTTCTATTTTTTAATACGTATTTATCTTTTTATCTTTTGCGTGCAATGTGATAGCTAACTTAAAGTAATCATACAAAAGACAAATAGACAGAAACTAGAAAGAAAAAGGGAGAAAACTTCTGTATATAGGCGTGTCCATTAAATCCATTGACCTACAATATTAGGTATGTTTAGTTTATTGAGCTAGCCCTTTGGGTGGTTACAATCTTTTGATGAAGTAACGATTCCAGATAAAGTAGAAACTTGATGAAGGCCTTGACCTACAGATGTATTCTGATATTAAGGTGAAACGAATAACGGGTCTTGGCCAACGAAATTGATTTTCGCAAAAAGAAAAAACAAAATAAAAAAAGAGCCAGTAATTTGCGACTCCCGTGTCCGTGCACGTGCGGTTTGTTAATTTGTCAAAAGCATAAGCACTCGTGCAAACACACATCCACACACACATAATTGGCCAGAGTGTGTATATACTCTGGCATCTTCCCCTACAGCAAATTTGGGGTTATTCCATTTCAATGTCAGACATTATCAAATCGGTTGATCTTTGAATAATTTCATTTGCCATGCGATTTACGATACTGCCCGTAAATCCCGCTTCCGTAGCCTATACGATTTTGTTAAGTTAAAGCCCCTGACAAATTTTGAAAATCTAATCCGTAGGCCGTAGTACTGCTTAGGCTCTGTTCTCACAACTTTTAGATCGATCTATCACCGCGGGGAGTCTCACTAGATTACTGTCAGATAATCCCCCTTAAGTGTCCGTCCCCGCCTACTACAAGCTTTAAGGGGTAATTAACTTTCGTGTCCGCCCGGCTGACAGCTATTTAGCGTGAACCCCCAGGGAGTTAGGTCGATCCAATGTAGGTCGATCTAATCTATGAGAATGGGGTGTTAGATGACAGCGCACAGTTCCTTTACTTGGTGTAATTCATTCGCACGAACTTGAACCTGTGATTTTTCCGTACTCTGACCACGTGGGTGCTAAAAATCGTTGAGATCTTCACCGAAAACTTAAGGAAGGAATCTTACGACAACGGCACTGAGACCGAGAGGGCTCCTTGGGTTTACTTTTCAAACGACAAACCGAATTTTCCGTTCATGTCGTCAAGATAATGTCGACGAAATGGCACGATACCCGCCCGTGATGTAAACGTACTCGACGTAGCCCGTAGTCACTTACGATGTCAAAAATCGCACTGAAAATCGTTCCTGTATACGATATCACCGTACGGCGTTCGTACCAAATGTTATCTAGGTTTTAAGGTGAAAGATACGACTTTTTATAGATTATTTATAAATTTTGAAGTCACAATCAACATATAATTTACAATCTATTGAAAATGTGGTCGTTTGCTCTGGTGGCAAAATCTCATACATTGCTCCGACGCCTAATTCTAAACATTGTTTTATTTTTTCTTAACCCGTATAAATATTAAATTCTAGCAAGTCAAAAATGCTTACTAAAATCTTTAAGTCACCAGTTACCATAGGCGGCTGTAATTTCATATTGACCACAGACTCGCAAGTTTTGAAATAAATATTTGACGATGTATAGCCAGTGAATACGTGTAAGTGGGCCCCATAAAAAAGAACATCAATTTTTAAAATAGATGCGCGGGAAGCTCAAGTTTCACCCTAATTATCAGTGACAGGATTTTCTATAGTTTCAGTCAGTGGCAACTAATGCAGACGTTTCGCAAATGTTCTACAAGACTGAGCTTTGCGGCTTCAAAAGCACTACATATTTGTATACCTCCGACACAATGTCATGTTATACATGTACTACCCCCCTCAAGTCCTCCCCCCTTAAGTCGCCACTCAAACACAACAGAAAAACATCAGGTTTGAATCGATTCTCAGAGAGACTATATTTATAAAAAATTGCGTTATGTTTTCATAAAAATATGGATGTATGTGATACGGAACAAAACGTTTCGGTTGACGTTTGCTAATTGCAGGAAGTGATTTAATAAAAAAGCAAACGAGTAGCCATCGGAAAGTCTCTAAAGTATGTCCTTAGATTCCATTGACCTCTGAAATACAGGACGTGTGATGTTGCCAACACTGAAGCAATCAAAATGTTTATCAAGTTTACACAATAGAACACCCTATTTATCTAAAACCTTGAGGGGAATTCATTGTGATAAGTACATTAGTTGGTAATGGAGTGTAGCAGTAACACAACATATGCTGGTGATGGTGTCGATAAATTGACTGGATGGTCCTAGCTGTCAAGAAAGGCAAGGGAACGGAACATATTGATCACTGATATTCTTTTTCCTTAACAAATCCATTAATTTGACGTAAAGTAGGCTTTGCATATGTCGTCACCCTATAACTTGACACGTCGATTGTTTCTAACAAATCTCGGAGGGTCCCGTTGGGAGGTAGTATTCACAGTTCACGGGAAATAAAATCATCAGCTCACAAATCACAGAATATAAAACTTTATTCACATCTCAATGTTAAAGCGAGTTGAAAATCACGAAAATCACGAATCACCGGTTATAAGGACTTCGTTTCACGAAGGGGGGAGAATAAAAAACTGCATGAATTGACGAGTCACGGGAATGGGGTGCTTCAAAGATCACGCTAAGTAATATGAGTGTTTCGCGCATCTCAATAAATAAAATGTGACTTTCACGTTAACGATAAAACCCAATGGGACCCTCATCGTGTGGATTGTATTATTGTACCACCAGCTATTTATCTGATAATGATAATAATAGTAAAAAGGCTAAGTGGCTCTTTCCATTTCTTTTTAAAGAATACAATAGTTATCTAATGATAATTATCCAGTCGTAGTGCAATAAAGGTAAACACTTTTGAAGCGAAAGTTTCCTTTTTCATGTTTTGTTCACCACCCCAAGTGCTTCTGCTTTTAAGGTCTGTCCCCGTTTATCGTCAATCTATGTGAATATTTGTGAATTGGTGTACTTAGAAGATGTTGCTCGGTTTGCACGTTATTTTGAAAGTTGTTTCGATAGTTTAACATAATCTTTTATATTTTTAATTATGTTTATTTATTTTTACTAATGAGGAACATGAGATAGATAAATTATATATTTACCATGTTTTTTTCCCGAAAAATAAATAAAGAAATTAACACCGTAAAGGAGTCAGATATCACCATGAAAATTGACATATTGTGTAAAATGCAATCCGGCGCCAGGGTTTGTCTGCTTGTTTTGTTGATGAGATATGATGTTCAATCAAATAAAGGCGGCAGATCGCCCTTTTACTGATAAAAGTAGAAGTTAGCCGTCCAAGGAGACATCCTAGCGCTAGATTGTAGCACTTATTGCTGTGAATAAATAGGCTTTAAAACGCTGTTGATAGCTGTTCGTTGAAGGAGATCTGTTAGAAATCGAAAATACAATTTTCAACTTTCAGGAAAACGGTGCTGTTTTGTCACTCAAATTAACGAAACCTGATTGGGACAGTAAATCACTGTTTGTAGCAGGTTATATAAAATAAAATAAAAGTCATATGCGTGTTTAAATGTTTTTCATGAAGTAGGCATCAAGTTTGCAAGAAACTTACAGTAATTCATTGACAAAAAATAATTCTAAGCGTGAGAAAATAGTACCACCCACCCACAGATGCACGGGTTCTTTTACTGTTGTTCCCTTATATAAAACATGCACGCTTAGCGGCTAATTACTGCTGCATGTAAAGTGCATTTATAATAAACCCGTTAAATCAAAGTCAATGTAAAAAAAAATGAAACCACCAAATTTACAGAGATTATTTTGTATGGAAGTTTTATAGTGGTATTAAATAATTCCTTTCCCTTTTTATCAAAAATAATGATAACTTTACATGACAAATATAAAGTGGTTTATGAAGAGTCATTTTCCTGAGTAGTGATTATAATTATGTGACGTTAATAGTCGTTGGTTGTTTCGTAAGTGTAAGGCAGATCTTCATAGTCCGGAAGCACTGACAGCGCATGGGTAACGTGAAGGTTACCAGAAGCAGTGGGTCGATAGAGAAGCTGTCTCATATCCCCGACAGATCTTTCAGGAGGTTGCTCTGGTGCACCATATCCTGCATATGAATTGGTGTAGAAAGGTCGGTCGTGGAAATTTGTTGGGATAGGCATAGCCATTTCTCGAACTGGCATTCCGTACATATCTCTTGCGGTTTGGGGCATACCGTGATTCGACGTGCCATGGACGTATTCAGTGACAATCACAGAGCCTCGATCGTTAAGGGTCTTTTTGTTGTGCCCCCCTGACGCGGAACTGGTTCCGTCCTTGTATGCCTCAGTACTGACAAGTTTCTGCCTCTTTTTAACAAAACAGATGGCAACGATTAACAAGATGATGATTAAGACCATAACACCAACACCACTAACAAGTGCGATCACTATGGTTTTCCACTGCTGTACATCCGTCTCGCAATGGGTGCCCCCAAAATTGATCTTGCACGTGCAAACTGGTTCGCCATCTTGGATCTCGTTGCAGACACCGCCATTTTGGCAGTAAGAGTCGTCACAGACTCGCCCACATGATCGACCTGGCTTTATGGTAGGCAGGGCGGAGTTATCTCGGTAGTTTCCTCTACACCTGTCAAAATTAAGGTGACAATAATGTATTTTCATCAAAAAGAAAAGAAGTAAAGGAGCCTAACGCCCGGTTCTACTAGATAACCATGGTGGATATACAAAATGCCAGATGAGGAAGATTACGTAGGCCCCCTATATGACTAAGGAAGCGTTCGGATAAAACCATCGCACTAAGTGGATCGATCCAACTTTCCATAAGTGCAAACACTATTTCGGCTTGATTGTCTGACACGCCTCCTCGAGTTGCTATGGGGTAATCAACTTGTTGATTTCCTCCTCAAGGAGGCGTGTCAGACAATTACGCTGACAGTACTGAATGCAATTTAGCAACAATCCCCCACAAAGTAAGATGGATTCAGCCAGTACGATGTTTGAGTATTATAGAACTTCGCCACAGGTAAATATCTGGTGCTGTTTTCCCTGGTATTAATAATAAAGAATTCGATTTCCAACAAAGAGATTTGGTAAGACAAAAGAGTAAGTATGAAATAAATCCAAGTGGAATGTCATGACAGAAACGAGTAAAGCATGGAAGGTGAAATTTCACAGGTTTTCGTCTCATTCATATCTCCATTAATCTGAAAACTAAAATTAAAGTATTTCTTCAAGAAACAGTAAGTTTAGTTATCAAACAACATAAATGCATTATTTAAGTTACGCACCTGCATGTATACCCTCCTTCCTGGTTTACACATATGGCACTGGGGGAGCAGTCATTTGTATCGGGGTTTGCACACTCGTCTGCATCAGTGACACTTAGCGAAGTGACGTTTGAATCGGAGTTATTTAATAACTCCATCCTCAGCTCATCCTGCAGCTGTGTGGTATTGTATGTCACAGGCTGCTGAGGATCGTGTTCATAGCCAAGTTCAGTCTCTGCTATAATGCTTCCACTCCTGCATCTCCTAACCCTACAGTGAAATCCGATCCGTCGTCCTCTACGTAGCAATCTACATACCATCACCTCAACCAGTTTGAATCTGGAACTGCTTGGGTCATCCAAGTCAGGTGTGTACTGCAGCTTAAACACAATTATAATCCGGAACCAAATGAAGATAAGGAATCTGGGTGCCATGGTCGTGGTTGTTGAAATCGTGGAAGTACTCGGGCTCGTTGATGATGTGCTGGAAACAGAAGTGGTTTGGAGGTTGTCAGTGGTTAATATTTCCTTTGTGGAGTCCGGATTTGGTGAAGTTGTCATATATTCGGGTATTGTTGTCTCACCACTTGTGGTGTATTTTGTAGTAGTTGTTGTTACTGTTGTTGTTGAGGGTTCAGCTACTGTTGTGGATTTAGTCACCAAAGTTGTTGCAGGTTCATTTGTTGTCACTGATTCAGTTGTTGACATTGTTGTTGTTTCTGTTGTTGTTGTCGGTTCAGCTACTGTTGTGGATTCAGTCTCTGATGTTGTTGCAGGTTCATTTGTTGTCACTGACTCAGTTGTTGACACTGTTGTTGTTTCAGTTGTTGTCGTAGATTCAGCTACTGTTGTGGGTTCAGTAACTGAAGTTGTTGCAGGTTCATTTGTTGTCACTGATTCAGTTGTTGACATTGTTGATGTTTTTGTTGTTGTGGGTTCAACAACTGAAGTTGTTGTGAGTTCATTTGTTGTCACTGATTCAGTTGCTGAAGAGGGTGGTATTTCTGTTATTGTTGTGGTTTCAGCTACTGTTGTGGATTCAGTCACTGTAGTTGTTGCAGGTAAATTTGTTGTCACTGATTCAGATGTTGACATTAATGTTGTTTCTGTCGTTGTTGTAGGTTCAGCTACTGTTGTGGATTCAGTCACCAAAGTTGTTGCAGGTTCATTTGTTGTCATTGATTCAGTTGTTGACATTGTTGTTGTTTCTGTTGTTGTTGTCGGTTCAGTTACTGTTGTGGATTCAACAACGGAAGTTGTTGTGGGTTCATTTTTTGTCACCAATTCAGGTGTTGAAGTTGGTGGTATTTCTGTTGTTGTTGTGGGTTCAGCTACTGTTGTGGGTTCGGTCACTGAAGTCGTTGCAGGTTCATTAGTTGTCACTGACTCAGTTGTTGCTGTTGTTGTTGTAGGTTTATCTTCTGTTGTGGATTCAGCCACTGAAGTCGTTGCAGGTTCATTTGTTGTCACTGATTCAGTTGTTGACATTGTTGTTGTTTTTGTTGTTGTGGGTTCAACAACTGAAGTTGTTGTGAGTTCATTTGTTGTCACTGATTCAGTTGCTGAAGAGGGTGGTATTTCTGTTATTGTTGTGGTTTCAGCTACTGTTGTGGATTCAGTCACTGTAGTTGTTGCAGGTAAATTTGTTGTCACTGATTCAGATGTTGACATTAATGTTGTTTCTGTCGTTGTTGTAGGTTCAGCTACTGTTGTGGATTCAGTCACCAAAGTTGTTGCAGGTTCATTTGTTGTCATTGATTCAGTTGTTGACATTGTTGTTGTTTCTGTTGTTGTTGTCGGTTCAGTTACTGTTGTGGATTCAACAACGGAAGTTGTTGTGGGTTCATTTTTTGTCACCAATTCAGGTGTTGAAGTTGGTGGTATTTCTGTTGTTGTTGTGGGTTCAGCTACTGTTGTGGGTTCGGTCACTGAAGTCGTTGCAGGTTCATTAGTTGTCACTGACTCAGTTGTTGCTGTTGTTGTTGTAGGTTTATCTTCTGTTGTGGATTCAGCCACTGAAGTCGTTGCAGGTTCATTTGTTGTCACTGATTCAGTTGTTGACATTGTTGTTGTGGGTTCAGCTACTGTTGTGGATTCAGTCACTGAAGTCGTTGCAGGTTCATTTGTTGTCACTGATTCAGATGTTGACATTGTTGTTGTAGATACAGCTACTGTTGTGGATTCAGTCACTGAAGTTGTTTCCGGTTTATTTGTTGTCACTGACTCAGTTGTTGACATTGTTGTTGTTTCTGTTGTTGTTGTAGATTCAGCTACTGTTGTTGATTGGGTCACTGAAGTTGTTTCAGGTTCATTTGTTGTCACTGATTCTGTTGTTGACATTGTTGTTGATTCAGTCACTGATTTTGTTGTTGACATTGTTTTTGTTGTTTCTGTTGTTGTTGTGGGTTCAGCTACTGTTGTGGATTCAGTCACTGAAGTTATTGAGGGTTCATTTGATGTCACTGATTCAGTTGTTGACATTGTTGTTGTTTTTGTTATTGTTGTTGTTGTGGGTTCAGTTTCTGTTGTGGATTGGGTCACTGAAGTTGTTGCAGGTTCATCTGTTCTCACAGATTCAGTTGTTGACATTAATGTTGTTTCTGTTGTTGTTGTGGGTTCAGCTACTGTTGTGGATTCAGTCACTAAAGTTGTTGCCGGTCCATTTGTTGTCACTGATTCAGTTGTTGTTTCTGTTGTTGTTGGGGATTCAGGAGCTGTTGTGGATTCCGTCACTGAAGTTGTTGTAGGCTCAGTCACCGTTGTTACCACTCTTGTTGTTGCGGTCACAGTTGTAGGTCTTTCTGCAAGATGATGACATTAGCGTAGAGCATATGTAATAGAAAACTGAACATGATGCGTTTGACAAGATTAAAAAAGGGGAAACCTTTAGCGTGTTCACGCGTGCAGCTTTTTTAATACATGCCACAAAAGACTACCTGCATGAGAACGCAGAAACAACGTTTCAACGACAATTTAATGATCCCATTTAGCACTCCAAAGCCCTGCCAGCGATTCTTCTTTAAAACCTTAGTTCAGATTTTATCGTTGATAAAGCAAAAACATGCCTTATTTAATGAAAATCTGTTATTTGGGGCTCATAGTTCATAAACATATAAACTAAAATGACGGCACGACATTGAAGCCCATACACTTGAAGTCCATTACGCAAATTTGTGTGATAGAATCTTGTTCAGGGATGAAGTAATATCCCACACCGATTGCTATCTCACCTCAACATAGAAATGTGTTAAGTTGATGATAAACGCTTTGAGTTGCCTATGCTTATATATATATTGCAATGAAGAACATAAACGCCGATATTTTATATTCTCGAAGGAATTTTTATTGTTTTTAAACCGGTAGATGCATTATTGAATAATCAGATGGAGGAAAAAATATTCATTTTCGGTACCTGGGTTATAATTAACCCTTACAGTAAGCTTATCATTGGAATAACTATTGAACAGCTTGAGGTCCTCAGAGGGTGAGTGCAAAAACAAAACATTGGACTGTATAAATGAAATGTTATAGAGCATAGAAAACGACTTACTGGGGGCCCGAATAAATTTGACGCATAATCATTTTAAATTTTACCTCTAGAGGGTGAGTGCAAAAAACCAACATTGGACTGTATAAATGAAATGTTATAGAGCACAGAAAACGGCTTACTGGGGGTCCGAATAAATTTATCACATGATCATTTTAAATTTTACCCCCAGAGGGTGAGTGCAAAAATCAAACATAGCAGTGTATACTGGTAAATCAAATATTATAGAGCATAGAAAACGGCTTATTGAGGATCCGAATAAACTGATCACATAATCATATTTGTTTTTTTACCTCCACATGTTGCACAGCATCTCTCTTGTACTGTGGTCCCGTCAGAGAAAGTCCCTCTACACTGAGTTGATGGGTCGGTGATCGTAGCACAATATGAAAAGTGGTCCCCGTATTCGCATCCTGAAAAATAGATGGTTTGGTTGATTGTTTGTCTTGTTACACGACCGACTGGTTGATGGGTTGGTTAATTGATTCAATGAATCACTTTTTCCTGCTTTCTGAGAGCATATAACAAAGAGCAGATAAATATACCAATTCACCGAAAATGTTCTAAACGCAGACAAAATTTAGACCCAATAGTAATAATTTATTCTTTGAATATCATTTCAGAAATCTGAACCCCCCCCCCCCCAAAAAAAAAAAAAAAAATCTTACCAATCCATGTGGGATCGTATGCTTCTAGGCACAATAGGCAACAAAGATTTCTGAAGTAGTCTGTGTAACATCCCCTTGTATCATTGTTTGACCTGTAAGTTTGGCAGGTCGCCTGACTGTTACTGTACACCTGGCTTAAACTGTCCCCATGTGTGCAGTTGTCTGTAATATAAGAGGCCATTGCCAGAGACTATCGAACTAACTTTGGATCTAATCATCTCCAAGGGGATTCTCACTTAATTGCTATTCACGTAAGTGGATTAGATGTCTGTCACACCAACTGAAGCTGATAGGGGGTAATTAACTATCGTTTAGCAGCTACAGTTGGCGTCCTAGATATCTAAGCCACTTAAGCTGAAACCAATTTAGCGAGAAACCGCGTGGAGATGGACCGATCCTGTTAGATCGATCTAGGGATGGGAACCCAGTCTGAATGGTAAAACCCCCTTTACACTGGACGGCGTCCTTTTTGCGTCCTTTCTGCGACCAAGAAACTTGGATCGCTGTGGTTGTAGAAAGGAAGCACAAGTATCGCTTTGGTTGCAGAATAAATGATCAATGATCGGCCAGTTGTTGGAACGTAAAATATTTTTTCTTTTACTCACAAACGGGACCGTACTACGGGGACGCAGAAAGGACGCCGTCCAGCGTAAAGGGGGCATAAGGCTTTTTTAAGGTTTATCGACGTAGATTATATCTTTCTAAATATATATATGTACCTACTGTAAAGATATTTTTAATTATTTTTGTCCAAAGTCGATCCATGTATAAGAGGTAAAAGCAAACTGAACTTACCTCTACCGCTAGGGGAGCTGCTGTTATACGTGCACACACCTTCAATACACCACTATGAAAACAGAAAGGAAGGGACAGATATTCATAATTATATATATACAATTTTGAAAAAATATCAGTTGTACGAAGTGGCTTGAGGTATTTATTTTTCGCTGTCTGCCACATTCACTTTTGTCTTCTCACCTATGTAACTACTCTATACCCAAACGCTTACTCAAATGTTTTATGGGTCTTTTAGTTATGAAAGTAGAAAATTTAGACATTTCTCATGCTAATGTTTTTTTTTTTTTTTTTTTTTCAGCAAGAATGACGGGAATTTACTCCTAACCAATACACAAAATGAATAAAAGGATAAGATACTGTTGTGGATTCAGTCACTAAAGTTGTTGCCGGTGTCATGTACCAGAATATGACAGCGAGTCCGCTTCCCATTCATATGTACAGATGAGCCTCGCCATAAAATTTGACCCACTTAGGTCAAACTAACCCCAACCATTATAACTATGTGGAGGGCGGACTTTCAGTCACACGGACCCTCAGTTTCGTGAAACCGGTTCATTTGTTGTCACTGATTCAATTGCTGGGCTTTGTGGGTATTTCTGTTATCTTCTTGGGTTCAGATCCTGTGTTGGATTCATTATCTGATATTGTTGCGGGTTCATTTGATGTCACTGTCAGTTGTTGTCGTTGTTGTTGTTTCTGTTTTTGCCAGCAATATTTTTGTGACAACCTTAATTTTTACCTTATTGTCACCACACTGTGTGCCCCGTGCCGCTCTCAGTCCCGAAGGCTGGCTACACGATGCCTCGTTTGGGTTATAACAAAACATCCGCACACAGATGTTTGCGTCGGCTGTCGCGCCCTTGATGAAAAATGACAATTACATTTATTATTATTTTTATCTGCTTACTTTTACCAGTAGTCACGTCTCCCGGTGACAATGGTTAAGTTTTAACAGCCGACTTTTTCTACAACTACATTTGGCTTATAGTAAAGGTGCTAAACTGCAAGTAACTGATATATCGGATGCATATGCTGTTTATAACAGATCATAAATTCTTGCATTTCCAATGTGTTTCTGAGTTGAATTTACGTTCTTTATGTGCGTGCACAGGGGCGGATTTAGGCCGTCTTCTGGGTCTTCCGGAAGACGGTCAGATTTACATTGACGGGTATCTAATTTTTTCTGTTGGAAGACGGTCAAAAATGGAGGATGGATCAACAAAGATGATTTGGAAGACTGTCAGAAAATATTTCTGAATCCGCCCCTGCGTGCATACATGTAGTTTCCATCCAATCTACCACTTTTACAAAAAGCCACGAGGAACATCATGCTTTGAAGTGTAAACCAGCGCCATTTTTACTTTAAAAACAAAACGAAGATAAGCAATACGACATTAATTATACTCTTTCTACGTTTACTGCTGCAATACACTTGCTGATTGACTATGAACTAAATATTTTTGTAACATTTTAGCAATACTTAAATTAATGCCATCAATACTGCTCTCCATCACCTATCATTACCACTAGTACTTTCACTTTCACTCCAGCGAGCATCCAAATATATTGTCTCACCACACACTAAAAGTTTTAGCAGTTTCGACCAGCCACTTTCACTTTCATTTTCAGCAAGTAGCCGTTACTATTGTCTCACCCCACAGTAATAGGAAAGCGGGCCGTATATCTGCCTGCACTGCTCGTGTGGGGGATACCTTTGTCCCGGTGGCAGGTTCATGTACGCATCCCACTCACTGTCGTTGAAATGAACTGCCGCGTTGAGAAGACAGTTTATGTTGTTGCTGACAATAAATAATAATAATAATGATAATAATAATATAAAGACTTAAACCCACTTATGTTCAATAGATTTTTAAAATATTTTTTATTCCCAATTTATTTTAATTTATTTTTCTAAAACTTATTCTAAATATGTTATTAATATTGTACATGTATAAAATCAATTTATAAATAAATAAATAAATGTTGTTTAAAAGCTAGACTGGAAATCCCTTCTCACGGGGAACAGATGAATCCTCTTTTCAAACGTTACTAATAACTAAGTGTAGATATTCCTGGTCATGTTATCCCATCTTGTAAAGATCTTAACCCCACAGGGAAATAAGGTGCTCAACTTGAAACTTCCCCTGAGCCCATTCAGTGTGTACAGACAACTTCGAAAAGTGGGACATCTTAAATGTTTGGGCCCTAAATCATTTATTTGCCAACAAAACCTACACAAATCATACATTTTTTGAAAGAAAATACATGTACCTGTACTCCAGGCCAAATGAAAATGACCTCAGCTGTGTTTAATGGGGAAGGGGTTTTTACCTGTTCAGATAATTGATACGTCTTCTGAAGTATTCAATGGAACAACTGGAGAAGTAGTAAGGGTTTAGGTGGGTGAGGGCTGATGTTGCACCGACAGATGGCGCCATAATAAACTGATCTGAAGCAGGACAGGAGTCACCCGTACCGTCTATTGTCCCGTCATGCCATGCGCCAAGACTGAAACCGATAATCACGAACTCGATCACTTGAATAAGGGTTATGAAAGACGCTGTCACTGTTTCAAAAACACACACATGCGTACACGAACGCATGCACATCCACAAACGCACAAAAAAAGCACATAGCCCATACAATTTTGGTCAAGAGATATAACTCAACGTGCTGTTATTATTTTCTTAACTTTTACTTCTGAAAGACGTTATAGGCAATAAATAAATAAAGAAACAATTGAACAACTTGGCGATTTATAAATTATATACCGGTAGGCATAACCAATTCTTACTTGTGTCCTAACTCGTGAGCACACACTGTAATGCTTTTAAACCCTCCAAAATCCTCATTTATGGAATGTTTATTAGACCCACAGATGCCGTTTAAATGTGCAGTACCTAAAAAAAAACAAAACAAAAGAAGAAATTTAATGGCAACACGTAGGTTTCATCTTAGTTATTGTTGCTAACACGCAGCAAAACAAACACTTCGCTTTTACCCATTGTCTGAGCGAAATAGAGAAATAATTGACTGCATATTCTCAGATATGTCTCCGACTTATTCTGCACTCATTTCTGTGAGAATTTTAGCCCGGAAGTGACGTCACCACTTTAGCGGCATGTAGTGGAGAGTATTTCTAAATAAAGTACTTACCGGCCACCGCTGTGTTTCGGGTGCCGTCAGACCTGTAGTTGCGCCAAAGTTCGTATCTACAAAATAAAACGTACAGCACTTATTGCGACAACATTAATACGAGAGAGAGAGAGAGAGAGAGAGAGAGAGAGAGAGAGAAGTGTTCAAAAGTTATACACTGAAATTACGTATTGTTCAAAATACATCAATATTGGTATGGCGATTTTGTCGAAAATGTTCAAATATCTATGCGTTATTTAGGCAGATCAGATCATGCATCCTTAGGCGTGTCAATGTAAAAAGAGAATCACAAAAAAGGTTCTACAGGAAAATTATGATACTTAAACGGAAAATTAAAAATAGACAAAAATGAATAAACAAATAATAAAGCGAAGATGATCATGAAAATTATACTGATCATGCAGATGATCTTGAAAATTATACTGAAACATCATTAATAAATACCCGGTAAACAACATCCCGTGGTCGTGGTTGGGTACTTCATTCGCGCTCTCTCTCGCATTAAGCCATGTCGTAAAAGCGTTCAAACCATCTAGAGAGTTCAGTTGGCTGTCTTTTATTGTCTCTATGAAAGATGCCGACGTTGCATCCTAAAAAGACAATATTTATCAAATATTTTAACTCGCTGGATAGTAAAAGAAATACAAAAAATATTTGGAAAGAAAAAGTAATATGTTAAAATGAGCTACAGCGTACAAAACTTTGCTTCACAATTATATTATTAAGCAGTTATATGACGTCATTTCAATGCTTGACGACCACATGACGTCATGAACGTGCACTTTCCTTCAAATAGCGAAACTTGTGCCCAACCAAAAATGTTACAATGCCATGACAGCGATCATACAAGAAGTGCATTTTAAAAGCAAATTAAAAAGGCGAACCCTCATTCATTTATTTGAGCGTGGTAATGCTGCCCGTGCCTTACCTTCAGTATGACGTATCCAACGAGTCTGACATAAATCGAAAACTCAGAGTCGTCTATATTTCCGTATCGAATATCAATCTAAAAAAGTACAAATTAAAAAAAAATGAGGTAGAATAAACACTTTTTATCGAGGAAAATTAGTTTAATAAGGCTAGACAATTAAGTAAATTAATGAATGGTAAATAGCTTGTCATGAAAAGACTGAACAAAAACGACACAAAACACACCTTACCCCGTTTGCTATATGAGCAAAATAATAGCGAATGTCTTCAATGGCTTTCTGTGCCTTCTCTTGTTCGGTACTACCAGTGCTGGTCGTGTAGTACCTTAAATTATACAATACAATGCACTACAATACAATACAATACAATACAATACAATGCAATACAGTATAATTTACAGCACCTATGTGTATAATACATGCGTACGGTGTTACTTTATGTCTGGTGGCCTGTTTTGCTAGAAGTCGTTTGTTTTCCGGATTACTACTATTTCTTCCAATCGTAAAAGCAGATATTCAGTTATAATTACGGAGGTCAATTTCGCAATTTTGTACTCAAAACATTTGAAGAATGATCAACTGGTAATAAATAAAGTTGACAAAACTAATAAGGATATTGCCGGAAAAAAATTACTGTCAAGAGATATTTTTTAAACTTCACAGTGAAAAAACATGTAATTTAAAAATCAAATAGCATGTGCATGATATAAAAAACTGAGACGGAAAGGGCACATATACAAATCACTGAATTTCAATTAATTTACAAATATTAATATTGAACAGAACAAATACCGTGAATAGATTGCATAGTCAATAACCTCCAGCAATTCGATGCCGAGGTTTTGCGTTGCTCGTTTGTGTCTGGTAACAGCTTTGGAATCGAAAAGGGGTTGTTGGTTTGCTAAATTCCTTTCAAAGATCGCTGAAAAACAAAGAGCAAATAAAAAACTTCTTTGATTTTACTAAACTGGAAAAGAAAGTACAAACAATCATCAGCTTATAATTTAGTTTTGTAGGGGGTTATAGGCCTAAGTGAGTTTTGCACGTAAAAGCTGATGTGATAGCTACATTTTTGTTCTGACCCCGACATTCCCCCCCCCCCCCCCTCCGAAAAAAAAAAATGAAAAAAGTATACGAAAATACCACCGATTCTCATCTGGCCAATAGTAGAAATGCATGAATGTATTTCATAGACACACTTTTCTTTGTGCTAGCATGAATTAGGTAGAACAACATGCACATGTAGGCTACACTGTAACTTTGTACAAGTGACTAGGTAGGGGAGAGCGGGGTTGGTTGGAACAGTTTTCACCTTTTTTGCGATATCTCAGCAGTCAAAGCTTTGGGCACAAAAATAAAAAATCTGATAGGGGAAAATTATATGCCGCACTCATCTATGAAATAAAACATCAAGTAGGTCTTTTTATTTTAGAGTAATAAATGCTCAAAGTTGCCTCCTAAAACGTTCCATCTCACCCCACCCGCGGGGTAAGTTGGAACAGGCAGTGGGGTGAGTTGGAACAAGAGGGCGAGTTGGAACGCTTGCATATAAATTCAAAGTATAATTCATTTTAAGAGTAGGTTTATCTATATTAATTTCCCAACAAGTGCGTGTTACTTTGTATTCGTATCTCCATAGTTTGTAAGCATTTTTTACGTTTACAATTTGCTTTCAAATAGTCTTTTCGATGTATAAACCATATCCAGTTACACGTCATTTCATAATGATAACAAAAGTGGTGTAGTTTAAGAGAAAAGAAATTGAACTCACATAACTCAACCTATCAACAACAGTTTGTTAGACCTACAAATGAAAACTGTATCTCTTTCAACTCAACAACTCAGAATCAAAATCGCAGT